GACTAAAGTGGTATCTGGCGTTTTAGGAAGACACCCCATTGGAAACTTCCACAATCAAGCACCCAAATGACTAACGATTGGCAAGGAGTGATACTCCTTCTGAAGTCTCCACAATCATCTCCCATACACCTACTAACTGCAACCATTGAGATACCCCTTCTGGATCCCCAACAATCAAAAGCCCATAACCCTAACGTCATATAAGGGCCGAAACCCCTTCTGAAGCATCCACAATGAGATATTCCAGAAGGACACCCCTTTAAAGTCCACACGCCCCCACAATCGAACACTGTAAATGTATAAAGATTAACAAGCAAGAGCCTGGAATAGCTCGTTAATAATGATGACCCATTACTTCGTTTATTGACGTTCACGTTTATAATTGATATACGTATTTACCATGTAAATAGACACAATATTTACTGTATGATGAACACGACTACTGCTTGATTAACATGACATCAAAAAGAAATGACTGAATCATGATTACGCATACCGATAATAGCAATAAATTTGAAAATATCGAAAGTTTCTGATATCAGTGATAGATTGACATAATATACACTAAGCAAATATCGAATGGAATACATAGCTACTTCATAATGAGTATAAATGTTTATGCAAATATGAAAACGGGGAAAACTGTTGATTTGATGCACATACAGAATATTCAAATATCGATTTTCTGTTTTATTCATCACACATGGCAATTATTCACATGACATAACTGAATATTAGGTATTCAAACCTACACAGAACAAGCACGCATCACAATGGCATACAGAGCGTAATCACAAATAACTAGATATTGGGTGTTCCAAATCTATATTAAACCCCCTAACTGAGAGAGTGAGAGAGGGGGGGTGTTAACGTCCACTCGATACAAACTAGGTCATTTCGGGACTATCTTATGGTTAAATGTCATTTCAATATTTCGCTTGCGCGTAGGGGCCTTTAGCAGTGGCAGAAAACCGGGCTACCCGAAGAAAATTCACGAGGTTGAACAGGCGACCCTACTCCTTGTCAAGTACAAGCGGGGATTCGAAACGACACCACTTGACTCAAAGACAGATCTCCTGATCCAATGAGCATGTGTTAACCTTTTCGGCCCCCCCCCCACCCCCGATCGAAATAAACGGAGAACCAAACTAAGAGCTAAACTGAACAAACAGTATGATACAAAGTATATAAACACAATCAAAGAAAGCAAAAACACACGGGAAAATATATATTATTGCACAATTTACATAGAAGTAAGAATAGGGCAAAGTCATTAATAAAACCTAAACAGAAAACAGCACAATAAGACACTGGACAGAAACTAGATTAAAGAAAAAAAAACAAATGGGAAAACATCACACAATTCGAATGAAGTAAAAATAAGTTAAACCATTATTAAACTGAATTAGTTATTATATTTCACAGCTGTACACCACGTTTTAATCGACATTAAAAAAACTGTTTCTAATTTTAGCCTTTTATTCTAAAGAATGTGCCATATGTAAATATGACCTTATTCAACCTAGTCATTGTCGAGCACGTTCATGATTCGGTTTGAGTGAAGATATTTAAGATATGTTTAGACAATATTACACAAAGCTTAGATAAATACAGCTCTTTCTTTGTACTCCTTGTATTGAATTTAATAATAATAATAATAAAGTATGATGACCCACGGGTGTAGGTATTTAAGTGTGTATTCATTAATGGTCATCATTATTGCTTCTTTTAGTAATATGGATATATTCATCCACCCCCTTGTCAGTGGTGCAGGGTCAAGGACAGAGTCTAGTCTTTCGGTGTCCCCAAACTACGAGGTATACCCGTCTTCATTAGCCCAGTGGGTGTGGAACAACAGGACGTTAACACCTACCGCATTTCACTTCAAATTTATTCGTGCATATCACATGTAGCGTATATTAATTAATTTTAATTAATGATCATCATTATATCCCGTTTTAATTAAATCCATATATTCATTCTAGTAGCGTATATTAATTAGTTAATTAATGGGGTCTAAATTACAATCACAGCGATAAACCATGATATGCATGGATTGTATATTGCACGTTTGAAATTAATGATACAGTTCTCATAACCCAATAATAGATGCACGCCATTCTAACAATAATTAAAGTTATTGCCTATTTTGTGTAACTACTTAGTATGTGAAAACGACAATCACCCAAATAGAACGTCAAATCAGTCATGCTGTTAAGCTGTCATTGCATGAGGCATTTATTGTATTACATACAAGTAATACCTACATTATGTATCATAAATTGTGTGTAACATCAGTCGGCTTCGTGAGCTGTTACCACAATTTTCTTTCGTAAATATTTCGTTGTATTTACAAGGTCTTGTATCAACAGTTTCAATAAGCGTGGACTAAGAACAGAACCCTGAAAAGCTCTAAAGCAGTAATTATTAGATATGCGAGGGGAATGGTGAGAAGTGGTATCCAATTTTCCAGGAAGGGAGGGCATATCATGCACCCATCTCTTCCTATGTCTAAATCAATTAAAGGCATGCAAGGGAAGTGGCATTTGATGTTCCAGAAAGATGAACCATATGGTTCATCACAATTTTCCATTTATCTCTTCTTATATTTAAAACAAGTAAAGCCATGCAGATGAGCCGTATCTTTTATCACATGTCCACCCATCTATCCCTATAACTAATTCAAGTAAATGTTTCATATTCAAAACCACATGTCTCTAAATTCTTACTATTCATCTAAGGTTTGACCTTTCCACATACTACTAATCACAAACCACGTTGTCTCCATTCATGCTTTACAAAATGACTTTTTTGTGACCTAGAATAACGACTTATACACACGGTAAGACTCTAAAGAAAACTATAGCAACGGCACGAGCTTGTATACCTACATGACGTAAGTAAGTAAGATATAGGGACATCATCATAACAAAATAAATCTATGTCTAAATTAAAGAGAATTTCATATACGTTGCGTACCTCATTGTATTGATTAAATTTCTGATTTGTATCGGTATTGGATAAGTACAATTCACTCAATCGTTAGTAGGAATTTGTTTTACCACCAATTTATACTTTTTTATAAATGTCCATTTAAAAGAAATTGACCCTGTTATCATATTGGTGCTGCAGGGTTGTCAGATTTGAAATCCATCAATACCACGTGAACTTTATCAATGGCAACGCACAATAGTAACAGGCACCGCCTTGTCAAAATTATATCAGGTGTTTCGAAAAGTGAAAGTATGTGCTGCCTTGGTTAATAAGTATTATTAAGGGTAAATATTTTGATATGCAGGGTGGGGTTTGGTGGTGGGCTAATTGCTCGTATGTATTGTTAGTTATAAACACGATGACGTTTGCGTTTTTGAACCTGAACACATCTTGAATATCGTTCGGCCCCCTTTCTCACATGTAAGTTTTCATTTTAAACTGTCTTCTTTTTAGTCAATGCAAAATCCGCATCTCCAAGAATTATTTGTATGGGCTTTTATCTTTGTGAAATGCCAAACTAAAGTGAATGGCGGTGATATTTTTCTGATTATATTTATTTAATATAATGAAATTTTACCAATTACTTTTAAACGTTAATAGAAAAAGTTAAGCGATTTGATTATTTACCAGGTCGATGAAGTTTAGTAAATAATTATTTTTTATAATTTTGATATTATTGTATGTAATGTATAAAATGTTGGCCATATGGTGAAAAAGAATCAATAAACACAAAACATTGAGGAGTTATACCTGGTTTCCAGGTAAGCTAACTTTTACTTTCAACATTGATCGCTGTTTTCTTTAACAATAAAAGTGTGGGAATTTTTCTCACTAACTGGAGTGATTTGCGTGATAAATTATCTATCGAGTTCAAAGTCTATGTAAAATCATATATAATAATTGACTATTTCATTCCCCTGGCTATGAGTAATATTTTGCGAAATGGTCACGGTTGGCTGCACAATTTAGCTTATTAAAGGTGAAACAAATTATTTCAAGGGTGCAAAAATATTATGTTTATCCTTATTGGGTAGTAAATCTATTTTTCTCAGGTCGGTCGAATGTTCTTCTACTGGTTTATCCACTTATATTTCCGTATTAATCTCACCTTGAATATTAATGAAAGGCTGGCTACACGTCCCCAGATAACCTCCGACCCAAACACGTACGTCACGCAATGATGAATGTACATCTGGGCGTGGTTTATTTTCCATATATGGTATAGCTATAGAATGAGTGAATCGTTAAGACCGTCTTGCACGTCAGCATTTAATTCGCCGGCCGGCTTCTTTTACGAGTCTGTACATTGAAGAAGAAATATTGTCATTCGATAAATTTCGAGCCCCTGAACTTAGAATTAGTCAAATTTCACTACCTTCGTTCACATTTTGATTATTCAACTGTTATAGAAACCAATTTTACAGAAAAACCTGTTGATATTTTTCTCAGAGCCATCTTGAATATTTCAATGAATAATGTTATATTTGTAGGTAGCTAGCTTATAGTAAGCGGCAAGTACCTCATCATCACGTAGTAGTTAAATTGGCGATGGTTTTCGGGGTCTTATTTGTGGCTGACTATCATATTTTAGCGACTACTTCTTCGAAGAATTTATTAATCCTATTAAATTGGCTAAAATAAACATGTCGTAACCTGACCGATGGCAAATATCTTCACTGGGCTTATTATCGCGGTTTTTTAGTCTAAGCGATAACAACTGTTTCAAGTGCGAAATTATCCCAAGAAATATTTCGTTGCACTTGAATCAATTGAACACTCTACTAGTTTAAAACCAACAGGTGCCCGTTTCCATATGGAATATTGCCTGGGTTAATTACCTGTTGCTGGTAATAGGGAATATGTTGCTATATGTATTAAAGTGTTTAAGTATGTGTTGTGGATGCTTTTAATTACTATATATGTTAACGGAATAAACCACAATGGGTAGTCAAATTTCGAAACATTTTAAAAGGGTTCGTTTTAAAAAGACATATAAAAGAACTTACTGTTGTCGGAGGGTATCAACAAGATCCTGAAGTCCGGCCATTTTAGCATCAACACCGGCTTTTTCAGCAGAAAGATCATCGATAACACGTCTGGCTTGTGCCAATTCATTTTCGTACATATCCCGAACTGGTTTAAAATCGGCAGCTTTCTGATTCCTGTAATAATCTAATTCTTGCTCCAGTTGGGTGATGGTGGCTTCCAAAAATCGGACCTTTTCGATATAGCTACCCAATCTTTCGTTCAATCCTTGCATTTCTTTTTTCTCGTGTCCTCTCTTTTCCTTCATGGTGACTACTCCTTCATGAGACATGCTGGAATAGGTACCTGGCACAAGGGATAGACCGCTGAATCCCGACATAGAGCTACGGTTGTATCCCGCTCCTGTTGGGACCCTTGAATGGGACCCTCGGTTGATAATTGTGGTCCTCTTCTGCATATATCCGCTGCCACCTCGGCCAGAAGAACCGAATTCCATGGTTTCTCGCTGCTGCTGTTGTCCACCTTTAGACATGATGCTTGGTGAAGGTAAATATTACACTATGTGATAAAATGTTAAAATAAGAATGTTGCGGGACTGGCTTACAGCTGGATCGATCCGTACACAGGTCTTCACGCTGACTATATGATCTGACTGTGGCTTGATGTCCCGCTTTATACGACTACTTTGTCGTCTGCACATGCCCAGTGACAGCTTAATATGTCCATACTAGTAGAACTTGTTTCTAGGCTGTGTGTACGGTGGTTAGATATATTATAATACTTATCCGTAGCTTGGAGACGCAACACTCGACAAAATAACTTTACCCCCCCCCCCCATTCTTCTCTATAACTGGTTTTATAAGTAAAAAGATGTATACTTCAGTATATTATTTACTGACGTAGTACCTGTGTATGACCTATTGGGATATATATACAATATATACTGATATATACCACTGGAGACGAAACACTCGAAAAAATAACTAGGGTTTAATAATCCCTACATTTCTCCTCTAAAACGGGTTTTCTGTGTAAAGCGATGTATGCTATAATATATGTGTATATATACTGGTGTACCTGTGTACCTGTATATCTTACCTATTGGTGTGTATACAATATATACTCACATATATACCATGAACTACTACTGGTCGATATTCACTGTTATTACAAGTCAATATTGTACTTTTATTATTCCAATTATACAGCATCTTAAACGTATGAATTAAATAGTAACTTTTCCTTTTGTGGCTTTCATAATAATAATAATAATAATAATAATAAAAGTGATTATTGATAAAACGCACATTCCACTCGTGTATACTCATGGCACAATCGTCAGCTCTCTGCATATTATATATATACTGTAACAAGTTAATATATAATGTATATGTTTTTATTTGTGACTTGAATGATTACAAGCTCTTTGGGTTGGTTCAATGTAGGAGAAAGCTCCTTTACGCGCTTGGACTATTGAGTTAGACCGAACAAGTTCATAGATTGTGATCAAAATGTGGTGTCATAACACCGATCCATTACAGACGTCGTGTACGAGGCGTGGCATGCGTGCTCTATATAGGTCGATGGACACTTCATCATTATAATAATATTACATAGACGTCCACGTAGATTCCGGTTGTCACTTGTCCCGTTAGCGACGGGGGGGGGGGGGTCTGACAAGAATAGTTGGCCTAGTCTTTCGGATGGGAAGAAAAACAAAGTACTCCCGTGCTCACACAAAGCGACAGTTCGACTGGGCTTGATAATAACTGTAATTGTATTCCATAAAATTGTAACCTGTAAATTAGTTCATTAGAGAGGTTGAGGGATCACGGTGGCTAAGTGGGTAAGACGCTGGCTCGCTAGCCTGGAGGTCGGGTGTTCGATCCCTGCATTGCCCGAGAAAGTTCATCCAGATTTTCCGGCGTGGTTTCCCCTTGTCAGTGATGCAGGACGGAGGACCTGACAAGGATAGCTGTCTAGTCGTGCGGATGGGGCAAAAAATGGAGGTCCCATGTACACATTGGCGTGCACGTAAAATATCCCTTGGCAGTTGGAATTCGATATAAGAATAAACCGTAGTGCCGCTGCCCGAGCAAAATTTCCCTCATCGCACACTGTATGCCCGTCTTCATTAGCCCGGTTTAGGAGCAGAACAGTAGGACGTTAAACCCCATTTCATTTCATTAGAGAGGTTGGTTACTCTTTACGGATGTTATATTGGGAACCTTTCCTAGCAAACAGGCGTTTGGATGGTCAAATGGTTAGCGCGCGCCTTGTATCATAAGGTCTGTTTCGATTCCACGGTCGCCTGTCCAATCGCGTGGGTTTTCATTGCAATAAAATTCAATCATGTGTTAGTCCCGAAATGACCTAGTTCGTGTGGAATATATCTATTAAATATTGAAGTTTTGATCTCGTATATGTTTCCTCCCATTTCTAAATAAATCTTATTTCGAATTTCTAATTGCAAATGTTACAAGTATGTACTAAATTCAATAAGACTGATGGTCACGCTAACCAACAAGCGTTCCACTCCACTGCCCTGGTACGTTAGCATTAACCTTTAATCCGCTATTATCCCCGATGTCCTTTATCAAGGTTAATTGGATTATGTATTAGACATGAAATTATATTTTTAATGTTTCAATCCTATTAGATACACCACAATAGTCCAAGGCCTATAGTAAATAACATTATAGTTCCATACTAAATAACATTTGGTACCAAATTATAGTAAATAACATTTAGTACGAGACTTTTAGCAAATAACATTCAATCCCAGACTTATAGTAGGTAACATTCAGCAATATAGTAAAAACATTTAGTCCAAGACTTATAGTAAATAACATTTAGTCCCAGACTTACAGTAACTTCTAGTCCCAGACTTATAGTAAATAACTTCTAGTCCCAGACTTAGAGTAAATAACATTTAGTCCAAGGCTTATAGTAGATAACATGCAGCCCCAGACTTATAGTAAATAGCAATTAGTCACAGGCCTATAGTAGATAACATTCAGCCCTAGAAATATAGTAAATAATATTTAGTTCCAGGCCTATAGTAGATCAAATTGAGCCCCAGACTTACAGTAGATAACTTTTAGTCCCCGATTTGTAGTAAATAAGATTTAGTCTCAGACTTATAGTAAATAATATTTAGTCCTAGGTCTGTAGTAAATAACATGCCGTCCTAGATCTGTAGTAAATAACATTCAGTCCCCAAATAGCCTTTACAATATGTCCTTGTGAATGACGAACCAACATATGTCACCATATATACATGATAATACACCCAGCAACATCAATTCAAGCAGTTGTCTTATGACATCATACCGTAGGTGGGACCATATGTTAGTCTCAACATTACGAGGAGTAAAATCCCTTTTTTTGTCGTTGCAATAGATGTATGCTTACTTCCCAGCAGCTGTCTCATTACACCATAATATGGTAGGTGGTGAACACCACTGCTCGGGCAACATTCGTTCCCTTACATAACCATGGGACAATAAATTACAGTATGTTGGTCTCAACATTACGAGACGTTAAATCCAATTTCTGTCCATTGTCCAGCGTTTAGTCGTTCTGGTGGGACAAAAACCCAAGGTCCCGAGTTCATGTTGGCTTGCATGAAAAAGAACCTTTGTCAGTTGGAATCCGAAACAAGAGTAATTTGCAGTCCGCTATCCGGGCAACATTACTACTGTAGGACGTTAAACCCCATTTCATTGCATTCGATTGCCATGGATGTATACTCACTTGTCAGCCTGGATCATCCCGTTAGGTGTTTGTGATGTTGCTTTGCGATATGTTCGTATAGGTAACAGTGTGGACATTTGTGTGGAAATGTTTTGTTTTCTAATTCCCTATTCTGTATTTATATGATATTTTTTTATAGCGCCATTTCCACAAACAGTGCTCAAAGGCGCTTTACAAAAAAAAAATAAAAAAATAAAAGTAAAATAAATTGAAACTCAAAATGTGTGTTGATTTAAATAGGATACAATTATTAAATGACACAGATAAGTAATCATAAGCTGTTATTTTCAGACTCATTTTATGAATTACTTTAAGAACAATCTTAAAAATCATCCTAAGTTTTAATATGCACTGTTTGTCATGTCGGTTATTGGTTCAGCAGTGCTCTGGAAATTCAATCAGCTATGCGAACTGTTCAGATGACAAACGCATCTGCAACAAACACCATATACTACTGTTGTGTTTAACTTGTCTATGACACATTCTTATTTCGTGAGGAATACCTGGCACAACTGAACGATGCCCTTATTTCCATTCAGAATCGTAAGTGAGTTTCACTGGAAAACCCATACTAGCTCATAGGGTGATAGATGACAATAACCCAAATATTACGTCAGATGTACATTAACAATTGTTGCTACTTCCTTGATCCAGCAGTTTGTATACACATAATTTAAACGACATGTAGTATTTTATAACATAGGTGCGTCAATTGTTTAAGAACATGAAGGAAAGAGACAGATAAACGGGGTTTAACGTCCATTCGACACAAACTAGGCCATTTAAGAACTAACACCTGGTTCAATTTCATTCCAATAGCAGTGGGGGGAACATGCGGGACCCGGAGAAAACCCATGATGTTGGACAGGAGACCCTACTCATTGTCACGTACAAGCGGGTAATCGAAAATACGCCAATTGACTAAATGACAGACCTTCTGATTCGGCCATCCAACCCTCCAACATGTAGGAAGGCATATCATACAGACGTTCGGGTGGGAGGTATAACCGATAACCTGTGCAGATACCGGAACCATTGGCAATTGGAATTCGACGAATAGTGGATAGAAACGCTTTTCCCTGAACAAAATATCATGGAAAGGAAAACGTATAGTCGTTCGGATGGTATGGAAAACCGAGGTCTCGTGTACACATGGGTGTACACGTAACAAAACCGTTGGCAGCTTAAATTCGATATAAGAGTAGGTCGTAACACCGCTGCCAGGGCAAAACATCTTTTATAGCACATTGTACGGCGTACATCCGTCTTAATAGCCCGGACAGCGCAGAAAAGTAGGACGTTAGACCTCACTTTATTTCAAAACTTACTCGTATGTAAACCTGTCTTTACAGATAAATATCAATGTTTTTCCACTCATTATAATATTTCAAGTATAAAATAGAGCAATAGCGTCCACCCCCACGTAACGATATAATAACAAAGTCGACCCTTAGTTTGTGACGGTTAAAAACTATATTTATGACACCCCCACAAATTAATGTTAGTACATTACATATTAAAGCCTTGAAGGTGAAATAACAAATGTACAGAAGGTTTATACCGGTGCATTATGACACGATTATTATACGTTCTATTTGACAGGCTCCTTTACTCCTACACACAGTCGACTTTAAAATATTAACAGCTTACAGTCAAATGTTCAAAATACTTTTTCTTTACAGCCCCTCCCTCTTCAACTTCATCCTTCTCGTAAAACGTCTGGTATGGGGTTTAACGTCCTCCTGGGCTTATGAAGACGTCACACAGTATTCTGTGCCCGGGCAGCGGCCCTACTGCCTACTCTTGTATAAAATTCTAACAGTCAAGGGATCCTTCAAGTACACGTCAATGTGTACGCGGGACCTCGGTTTTTCGTCTCATCCGATGGCTAAACTTCTT